TCTTAGGTCGCGCATGTGAAGTTGTCTTAACAAATGTACAGAAACCTAAAACACAATTTACCATAGTGCCATGTTTCTATAAGTACAAATATACAAAAGTAATAAAATATAATCACTTTGAAAAGATGTATCCAATTTAGAGTTTTCTGTCGTGAATCATTTCTCTTGATCGAACTGCTAGTGATAGTCCTGCGGTATGGCAAGTCTGCTATCTGGAAAGGCCAATTCTACTAATCCCAGACATACATCTTTAAGGATGCTTATTACTGGTACCAACTCAGTAAAGTGAAGGGAATAGATTCACCAGATGCAAATTCTCCATCATGTAAAGTAGTTATTAATAAACTGAACAGCTCACAGAATACGGTTAAAGGGGGCACAATCAAATCCGTGTCTTCTCCAGACATTGCTATTCCCCGAGATAACATCATTAGAAGAGAACATTTATTACCAGCAACTATTCCTAGTTGTAATACTTGAGCATATGGTCCACACACGACGCAAGAACTTTGCACGAAAGCCAATGTATATAATAATCTAATATCATATGAAGTTTAGTAAATAATATTCAAATACACTTTATATAAAAAAATACTTATTTACTAACACATTTTGTTTACTTACTTATATTTATGAATAGCGGAATCATCACAAATTAAAAAAGAAAATGACAAAGTCGACATATTGATTGAATAACGATCTCATCATCTTCATGATCAACATATCTAATAACCTTTTACTCTATTTTCTTCATTTATTAGAATTCTGCACTGCTGTAAAAATTTCTGATTCTTGAGGAGATGGCCTAAAAAATGTAAAAAATACATATAAAAATAAATCTGAATTTGTCACAATGTAAGTTAATGTAATGTTATGCACTCGGTGAAGCTAGTGATACAACTTCAGTAATACTATTATATATTTCTGTTTAATGTAATAAAAATGATCATAAAAAAAATATACTTACTTATAACCAAGACAGTTTTCATCATCTTCCTCCATATCAACATCATCGTCACAGTCATCGTCACAGCATTTCCAAGATAAGTTAATAGATAATCTAGACAAAATATCCAAATAATTTGAAGCATGTAGACCAATGGAATTCAAATCTGAAAATATAATATCAAAATGAAATATAACTATGATAACTAAATACAATCAAAATATAAGAGATATATACTCTAAATAGTAATACTCACTTAGATTTTCAGGTTCTAAAGATAAAATGAGTACAACATCCAGGATGTGTTAAAAATTTATGCTCTCTACTTAAATATGAAACCAACTGAGCATATGGAAAAGAATTTTTATAAGTCAATTCCGATGAAAGTGCCGGTATTAGAAAGAAACTTATGGTTCTGAAAATTCTGTTCCTAGTATTTCTTCGCACAGCTTTTGCATTACAGTGTCACTAAAAAATATAATAGCAGATCTAAAAACAAACCTTATACACAATTAATGAAGAAATTGTGATGACTTAGAGTAAATATCAGAAAGAATGCAAGACAACTTACATAAAAAATAATTGATTTGAATATTTAACAGCTTCTAGAGGCCTGATAATAAGATTTAATATTGCTAAAGCAGTGGGTTGGGTGGTTCTGGACTTCTTTCCATTAAAGGTGGTATTCTAGCTTCTAACAACGTTCTCATACTTGAAAAATATCCTAGAATATTTCATAATTTAATATAAAAATAACTGTTTATAAATGTATTTGAGTTAAAATTGCTTAAAAATAATCTCACCATTTTGCACGAGATGAAAAAAATTATTTTACATATAAATCAGATTCTTCTTCAGTGCAGTGAGGTGCTCTGAGTTCAGTAAACACTTCTAATACTCGTAAAGGCATAGCTTGTATTTGACTTCCGTCTTTCATAATTTGTTTCAAACATAATATCAATATTTTTTTTAATCTCCAAGCATAAGATTTACATTTTATAGCTTCAACAAAACATATATATGGGACTTGATTAGAAATTGTGAAATAGTAATCTGAAATTATATAAATAAATAATAATATAATAATATTAAAATTATAATAAAAGTTAAATATTTAAGATTTTCTATGTATTGCATTGCAAATTATTTACAAAAATTATCTGACATACATATTGAATCAATCAACATGTACTATAATGATATTTAGTAATTAGATATTTTAAAATAACTACTTACAAGTCTGTTGAGGTCATATTTTTTATTATAAAAAATATCAGTCGAGCAATTTGTTTAGTTAATATATTGAGAAAAATTTGGATTTTGTTTTGAACATTCATCAAATATAGCCCGCTGTATATTTTTTGCATGCTGTCGTGCTACATAACTTCGAAAAAAGCTTTGAATTACAACAGCACTATGTGTTCGTTTTCTATAATCTTCCCGTCTTTGTCTCTCTTGGTGTGCTCTTTCTATCAAAGCAAGCCGATCACCATGAGCACTAGCACCAGCTAAATTTTGTTGTGGTCTTCTACGAAAATCTCCTTCAAAACTATACATCTATAATAGAATTTTATTTGATTACAACTTTCCTGAACAAAAACATTCAACATTTATGAATAAATCATGATTAACAAGCATTTGTTACAAATATATCTCATTGTTTATTTTAACAATAGAATTTGTCTATAAAAAAATATTTACATTACTGTATATTAATTTGAATCAAAATTATTTTGAGATACAATCACATTATCATAATTTTACATCTGGATATTATTAGTATTAAGCATGAAAATTTTATTAATTCGGATTTATGTTTACATTTCCTTAAGTTCATTTGGATTGTTTGCTATAAAATAAGAATTGAATTTTCTAACAATTAATATATAAATTTAAATATGAAATATAAAAGTACATACTCAAAAGTATTTTAACTGATAAATAATAAACTTTTGATAATTAAGCACTAGCATCAATAAATATAAAACAGTACATGCCAGGCATATAAAAATAACATATAATAATAATATATAAGATAATTATGTAAAAATTCACTGATTGTGAGCATCACATAAAAAGCAGAATCTAAGAATGTAAGAAGAATTTATTACAATTTAGCTAGTAGGATATTGACGATTTTTAAAAAAGCTTTGTACTGAATAACTGAACAAGCGCAATGACGTACTGCAGTGATTTCCAACCTGTGGTGCGCGCCCCCTGGGGGGGCGCCATACCGTCCCAGGGGGGCGCGAAGCTGTTTCAAAACATTATTTTTTAAATGCTGAGTAAGTGTCAAAAAACAAATCAGCAAAATACTTAAATATTCTAAGAGTGTTTGAGCTCAAAAAAGAAATTGCTATATTCCTTGCTGATAACAAAAGAGACGGAGCAATCTTGTTTTAGGACAAAAACTTCCTTGCAAAATTTGCGTATTCAGTTGATATTTTTCAAAGACTTAGCGATTAATTAAATCAATGCAAGGATCTCAATTCATGGTTGTTCAGAAAGACAAGATTACGGCTTTAATGAAAAAATTAGAACTGTGTATAGCTAGTATCAAAAACTTTACAACTTTAACATGTTTCCCATTTAAATTACTTGTGTTACTGATGAAATAGAAGTAGTAAAGATCTTATTTTATATCAGTCATATGACTAGTCTGCGAAACCAATTTTTGCATTACTTATAAAACATCAATTACGTCCAATACGAATGGATAGAAACCATTTGTCATTGAGAAACATGGTGATTTGATCATTCAACAGCAGAGCAGAAAATGATAATTGATTTATCTAGTGATAGCACATTGAAGAGATTTTTTCAGGACGAAAAATATTGTTAAGTTTTGGTTACCAGTAAAGGACGATTTTCTACTTTGAAATAATGCTTTAGAAATTTTATTACATTTGTGAGATCTTACTTATGTGAAACAGAAAATTCTTATAATAAATAGTTATGTTTGTATGCATATTTTTTATAATACTGTGTATTATTTGGCATAATTTCAGTTATATTAAGTATATTTAAATTAAATTGTTAGAAAAATAAGGCGGGGCGCAATATTTTTTTCTTTCGAAAGGGGGGCGCAAGGAAAAAAAGGTTGGAAATCGCTGACGTACTGTAAAAAATTAAATAAATGAAAAAATAATTAATATATTAACACATTGCGAAAGTATAATATAATATAGGTTACATTAAAAATATACTTACATTTTTTATTGTTCTGGTTCAAAGAAATACAATGAAACATAATACATTAACACTATTCGCAATCATTTCTTAGTTTGATGCAGATATTAAAAATCAGCAATATCGTTACGTCCACATTATGATAAAATCATAAGAACCATATACACAACACTTATATTTTAACAAAATGCAATTCATAAAAGCGAGTTTGACAAATGACATTACTTTTTACTTAAAGCACCATAGATATCATGATCTTATGTCTGGGATCCGATACTTACAAACTAATTTGACATATTACCACTAAATTAATTGATTAACAATCATGGACAACTTAAAATAAAATGTTAAAGTGCCAGAAAGAAAAATAATTATTTACTCCTAGACAATATAATAATTTATATAATTTAAATGAATTTAATTTTATATTATAGAATGATTTACTTTTATCGCTTTAACATGTAAATGATATAGCAACTTATCGATCTATGAATATACTAGAGCATATTTTAAATATTTGTGAAGGTACAGGGATAGGTTCTATTAAAATGTATTCATATAATAATTATAAAATATTTAAATATAATCTATATATTGCTACAATTTTTACAGCAATTTTGACACTTTATAAAGTTGAGTAGAGTTTATAAACTCATTAAATAAAGCAATCATTATATTCTAATATTGTCTAGGACTGCAACTTTTATTGCAATCCTATACAATAATATAATAAAATATATTCATGCGATTGTTATCTTATTATGATTGTTAGCATATTATTAGTAAGAAACGATTGTATATATTTGCACATATTTGATTGTATTTATTTAGTTGAGAAATATGTACAAACTCAAATAAAACACACTTTGATCATAAAATAAGCTTTTATAATAAAATTAATAAGTAGTATAAATATATGTATGTATATATTGTGCAAAAAATTCTGTTTCTCTTTAGGTGAAAATATCACATCTTTTATGTTTGTTACATTAAAAAAAAACAATTATTTTAATCTATGAAAAATAAGAACAAATTAAAATAATAAAACAATTTGTTTTATTTTATGTTAAAAGAATAAATTTTAATGACATGATCAGAACCACAGCTAGCCAAACAATCATTAGAATTTGGTCTAAACCTCAATCTCTTGACTGTCAAATGATGTGCTAACTCTTCATCCATTATTGATAAATTTACACATAAACTTTCCATTTTTAATTTGCTAATGCTGCAATCATATAAGTGAATTTTTCCTGACTCAGTGCCAATAGCCAGTAAATAATTACCATTTGGTAATAGTTTTGGTGCAACGGCGATTGCTGTTACTGAGTCTGCAATGTTTATGGGTGAGCCAATAGATGAAAATGGTCCCAAAGTAGAGTCTGTTTTAGTTTCCGGTTGCTTACCCCACATGACAACTTTTCCCTCTCTGGATCCTGTCAAAAAATATTCAGAATCACTAGTCCAACAACAGCACCAAATAATTCTAGAGTGTATTCCATTTTGTTTATTTGTTGTTGCTATACTATGAAATAAATCATCATTTGAGCGTTGAAATATAGTCCAACGCCTATCTCTGGAAACTGAAAGTAAGTATTGATTGTTGGGAGAAAATTCTAATTGGGTAACTGTGAGCTGATGGGAAGGCAGTTTTTGAATTAGTTCACCTGTGGTGGCATTCCATAAAATTATTGATGCATGTTCAGTGTTGTTAGCTTTACAAGCTGATGCAATAATCTTATTATCAATACTACAAGCAATGCAATAAATTTCATAACCATGACCATACAGCTTTTGAACTTCAGGCCACAATGTGTTTTGCATCAGATTATCTTCAGTAGGTGGCTCTTGTAGAGCAAGCGAAACAAAATAATTTTCAGGATACATATCTTTAACATGCTTTTCTTCTACTTCTTCCTTGTCGTCATACACAGCCTTATTGGACAAGCCTAAAGAAGGAACAGATGCGCCTTTAGAAGATGTTTGCAATATAATATCGCCATCAGGATCATGACTGAGTGAAGTCAAATTCCTAAAATTCTCTACAAAATTGTGTGTTGCTTGGAATAATCTAATAATTTTCTCTTCTGCTGCTGAAGCAAAGTGATAACATGACAACGATGCTACGCAAGACATATCATAACCATGCACTTGAGGTCTCCCCATTTCATGCCATGTTAGTATTTCAGAACCTTTTCGTTTCCACTCAGCATGAAGTCTTGTTGTTTGATCACAACTTGTTGAGAGCAAATATTTTCCTGAAGGCTCCCAGGAAATGTCAATAACTTCATCATAGTGTCCCCCGACAGTGGTAGAAGGTAACCATGAATTTGTTTCCTCACACAACTTCCACAAATGTAAAGACCCTTGATATCCATGCCCAATAATACTTTTACCATCTGGGGAGAACTTCCCTCCATAAAAGCCAAGGCTGTTTCCACCAACTTCACCAACTCTTACAGATTCCAACCAAATGCCCATGTTAGAATCATATTTCCAAATAATCATAGTTTTATCCATAGATGATGATAGAAGTTGCATCTCATTCTGCTGATGCCAATGAGTACCATAAACCCAATTTTCATGACCTGAAAGAACAGATTCTAAAACTACAGAGTAATTTAAAACTTCATGCGACAACATCGAATGTATTTGAAATATACGACTTTCTTGCACTAGTTCATCATATTGGTTGTTTTCAGAATAATTCTCACTTCTTTTAAATATTTTCCATAATCTAATATATGTATCTTGAGATGAACTGGCAAGAAATATATCACCACTTGTATCTATTGTAAAATCTAATCCTCGAATCCAATCTTCATGTCCAATCAACTCTTCAACTTTGACAAAATTTATTGTTTTATCAACTTCCTGTTCACAATATATATAAATTTTATCATTATCCAATCCAATTGCAAGTAAAACACAACCGGAACTTGGCATTTCAACAAGTTTAATGCTTAAACAACGAGCAGTATTAAATTTTAAATCATTTAGTAAGGTAAAATCTGCAGAATCGTTTCTTTTCCAAATCTTTACAGTCGAATCCACTGATGCCGTGACAACATATGTAGTTGTTAAGTCCTTTTTATACAATGCATCAACTGCGTTAATAGATCCATTATGACCTTTTAGAATGAATGTATGATTAATGCTATTGCCATTTAACTGCCATACTATAGCTGTTTGATCACAGGAGCCCGAAACAAATTCTTCAAATTCTGTTGTAGCCCCTTCTAACCATCGTACACAGTTCACGCGCCCTGTATGTTTATATAGAGTTTTAGTGTTATAACAAATATTATTATATTGTGGATCACAAATGACGACAGAATTGCATGCTCCATAACAAATTTTATTATTTTTGCCCCAGTCTAAGCATCCTGGCGTCCTATTACAAGAAACTGAAATATACTGAACATCCGCTTTAAAATCCATTTTGAATTTTAGATAATTTAAATTAAGATATAGTTTTATTTGTCATTATATCGACGGCAGCACAACGTTTCAAATAACCTCAAAATAGCAATGTGTAAATTCGCATTAGTCAAACTAACCTATTTAAGTGATTATCTTCGCTTTTAATAACCTTGTATGCCTTGTTTCTTTCATCCAGGCGTCACTGTTGGGGGAAAATAGGAATATAGGAATATAGTAATAAATTATTAATAATTAATTACGGTAAAGACGTATTTAACATTGGTGTACACATTTCTTACAGAAATATCTCTAGAAGATGTCTAGAAGCATTTCTTAGTAATAATTAAATTATCAATTTCTCTTTGCGCAGTGGGTAATTACAAGTAAGTACGCAATAATTTCAATTAAGGAACAATGATTACTTAATAAACTTCATTATTTCAAAATTGCATTTGTTTAAAGAGTTTGCAGACGTTTAAACTAGCTTTTAGCTTCATTATTTTAAAATTGCATTTGTTTAAAGAGTTTTCAGGGGTTTTCAGCCGTTTAAAGTGTCGAAACATTTGTTACGCTGGTAATAACAATAATTTGTAGTTAACTTCGCGTAGATAAATCTTGCAAATTCTCATTTGTTTCTAAATGTGTGTAAATGACATACAAATAGACATATATAATAATGATAGATTTAATATATATATTCAATTTAATCAATCAAAAAAGCGTCTTATTTCATAAGCAAATTATTTTCTGAAGGATTTACCACTTCGATGTATATTTATTTATTTATAAATTAGTAGTAAAAGTATCATGCTAATAATAGTAGTTTATGTTTAAACAACAGTTAACTTTTCAGGTTTATGTCCTCGTTAAAGTGGCGTGATCGATTTTGAGCAGTGACGTACGACTGACGTGCGAAAATATTCGCGAATGTCGAATGATCCATCAAAACAACAGTCAAAATCGTATGTCAAGTTATTTACGCATTGAAAATCTAGTAATATATATCAGCAACATGAAGCATTTTGTGATGATAATTATTTATCAAGTTAAAGTAATAAAATTATAAAAAATAATTAGAAACGAAAATCATAAATTATAAATAAGGTGATGTCTAATAAATCAGGAAAATTTGGTCTTATAAATGCTGTTAAAGACCTTATAAACAAAGGCCAGTTTGGTTTAGGCAAAGATTGGAATAAAATAATATTGAAAATTCAATCAGCTTTACCTTATAATGACGGTTCTATAAGTAAGTTTAATATTATATAGAAATTATGAATTTTAACATGCAATCTTAAAACAATTTTTATTAATTAAATAAAACTTTATTAAAAATATTAATCTCAAATTCAATTATTTTTGAATCTTTATTTGACCCACCATAATAATAAATTTTTTAAGCTATTACCCGTGGGTATAAGGGTGAATTGGTGAATAGCAAGATTAGGGATACCAAATCTGATCATTCCAAATCATTTTTAGAAGCACTTGGAAAAAATGATAAGACAGATAAATTAAATTGCTGGAAATTAAATCAAGATGCAGATAAAAGTGTAAGTATTAACAGAATATTGTTGAATATGAATATTTGCATGGGGTTAATATCTTTGAATATTTTTTAAATGTTTTCCTACAAATTCATATTCATTTGCAGAAAAACATAGCATATGTTACAAAACATGTAGTTTCTTCACTATCGGCAATGCTAGAAGATGATTCTATTTTGCAACGATTGAAAGAATTTTGTGACCATATGAATTTATATCCAAATGAAAGGCATCATGCGATAAAAGTATTAATACAAATGAGTTAGGATTATCACCAAATGAATAATGTAATGATTTTAAAGCATCAACCAACAGACAATAATGATTTGTTGTAGTTAGGTGCTCTGAGTACTATTTTGCGATTGCGTCATAATGCTGAATGTGAAGAAATAATTCATCAATCTAATGAAGCCCTATCCTTAATTGGATATTGTGATCCCTTACCTGGAAGGGGTGTACGAATTCTATCTATTGATGGAGGCGGTGTCAGAGGCGTTCTTGTAATTGAAATGCTGAAAAAATTAGAACAGCTTACTGGAAAACGAGTGTTTGAAATGTTCGATTATATTGCGGGTGTTAGTACTGGCGCTATACTGGGATTTTCATTAGGTAGGAAATAATATGAATACATATGTTATACAATGTATGAATACAGATATCATGTGTTAAATTAATCTCTTTTTATATATCCAAAATATTTTAACTTCATATTAAAATTTCATTAATAATAATAATAGTAAAGTTTTTTTTCACTAATAAATAATAAATTTACTATTATGAATTTGTTCATATCTTTTATGATTGAAAGAGTAACATTGAACTTTTTTTTAATGGAATTGTATTCCTTATGCGCAAAAGTGTCACAACCTAATAGAACCTTAGATGAGACATCACAACTATATAAAGAATTGAGCTCTAAAATGTTTAGTGCTAGCAGTCCTTTATCAGTATTATCCGGCACATCTCGATTAGTTTGGAGTCATGCGTATTATGATACTTCAAAGTGGGAAGAATTTTTGAAGGAATATCTTGGGGATATCTCGATGATTAAAACTTCAAGAATACCAGGTTGCCCAAAGGTAAAAAAATGGATAATAATTTTTGTTCCAAAAATTTTATTGTTGAAATCAAGATTAAAATATTTTAGTTATCAGCCATATCATGCATAGCAAATGCTTCTGATACGGCAGCATTTGTGTTTAGGAACTACACCCTACCTTGGCGTATTCATTCAGTGTATTGTGGAACTCACAGTGCTAAAGTCTGGGAAGCTGTACGTGCAAGTAGTGCAGCTCCCACTTATTTTGAAGAATTTAAGCTTGGTGATTATCTTCATCAGGTTGGTAAATATGTTTTTTCTGATCCATACTGTAATATGGCTATTAAAATATATGTTTAATAGGCTTAATTTAGTATTGATAATAATAATATTTTTTGTTATTTTCTAGGATGGTGGTATCATGTTTAATAACCCAACAGCTGTAGCTATACATGAAGCAAAATTACTTTGGCCTGGTTCTCCTATACAATGTGTGATCAGTTTTGGGACTGGAAGAACTACACCTAGTTCTGAACAAATAAACTCAGAGAATTTAAGTACATCATCATGGAAAACAAAATTTATAAAAATTCTTTGCAGTGCAACTGACACTGAAGGTAATTTTCATATATCTATTTATCACAAATATAATTTCAAAGTTGATGAATAATTAATGGAGTGAAATATATGTCAATAAATATAAATTAATTAAAGCTTTAAAATGCATTTAGTAAAAGATAATTTGTTTGATGAAAAATGTATATCATTTCTGCCTTTTGATGCAGAAAAACTTCATATACATAAAACATGAATTAAATGAATATTTTGACCTTTCATAATTTTTATTTATTGTATTTCAGCCGTGCACACAACTCTAAATGATCTTTTACCATCTGGTACATATTTTCGATTCAATCCTTATTTAACTGAAATGCTTACAATGGTTGAAACTAGACCTGAAAAGGTAGCTCAATTAGAATTGGATGCTGCCATATATATGAGAAAAAATGAAGATAAATTTTTAAGGGTATGTCATTTATAATATTGTCAATATATGATATAATAATAATATTATTGTTATATCACAGGCCGCAGAAGCATTGTGCCAATCAAAACCAGTTTCTCAAAAATTAACTGATTGGGTAAGGCTTCAAGCCCATGTAGTAGGATTTCTATAAACTATAAAATGATTAAATCATAACACATTTAAATACTTTACATTATCATATAATTAATCTGTGATTTTTTTGTTATTTATTTAAATAAGAAAATTTAAAACTGTTATAAATTGATAAAAAATAAATAATATATTTTTAATTAATATTCAGAGCACTAAAATATCATTTTAATAAGATATAATCATTAGTATAATTACGATTTGCACCTCAATTATTTTCTACTTATATAATTTTGTACTACTGACACAGACTACATTACAATTTTTAAATAGAACAATGTAAACATTTTAAAAATAATACAAATCTAATTTGAAAACTGAGAGATTTCATCATTTTTGTTCATAAATTGCTGGTAATTTATATTTATTATAAATTTATAATTAATAAGTAATTGTAAATTGTATACTTGAGAATAATAATTTTTTGCGATTTCGCTAATTATTGTATAATGTTAAACGATTACGTATGAAGCGATTAATAAGGTGTAAATGCCAGTTTGCAAAGTTGCACAGAAGTCCCAGATCTCTGAAAACAATCAACAAAAATTGTTAGATCCAGATCTGCAGCAAATTTTTTGATATCTAGCAGAAATAATTTCAAGTTTTCTAATTTCAAGACGTTACATTCATGTTGTTATATAATATTTTGAAGAGAATTAAGTGTGCGATGTTTAATTTAAAAATTGTGATTTGAATGATTATATAATGATGAAATATGATAGAATTGGCAAAGTATAATAGATATTTTAAAATATTATTTATTATATAGTTTGTAAAAAAATAAAAACTATAAACCACACCATAACATCAGAATTATATGTTTAGATTCTCTTCATAATAAAATAAAATTATTAGAAAACGAATTAGTCTAGCGAAATGATTCAAATGATGAGTTTATTATCATTCGGTTATGTATAATTCCATAAACTAAGTTTTATAAAGCACGTAGACATTCTAAATACAAACGAGTTTCCATTCAAACAAAACATTTGTGAAAGATATACTTTTTATATCTATCAGTAAAACGAAATCTATTCATTTCTATCTATTAATTTATTTAAATCTAATGTACCTTCACAAATTTTGATAACGACAATTTTCAGTAAAAGTCGCATACCTAATTTTGGAAGTAAATATTTCCTTAAACGTGCTTCCGAATATTTACATAATACATCGATTATTATTTGCTTAAGAAACGTTTTATTGCACATTATCTGTAATGTAAGGATATTAATTATTTATATGTTTCCTATGACGAATAGTAGTTTAATATGCATACTGCACTGTAATGTTTAGCAAATATTTTTATAGATGTTTTTTTTGCATTTTCGTGATAAATGTTATTATAAGTTTTTTTTTCCATTTACTTAAGCGCCAAATTATAAAGCATATAAATACAACATGAATTTGAAAAATAGACGTTAGTTTTTTAAACCGTAAACACACAAAATGTTGGAAACAGTTATTGAAATCAATACATTGCAAAGTTTTTTTTACTATATCGGTATTATTTTAAATTTGAAAGTAAAGGATATAATTGATATTATATATAATAATTCGTATATTTTTTCTATCAACAGAAAGTATTCATCTCAAAGATTTATATTGTCTTGCTGTTTTCTGGTCATCTGCTTTTTCAATGAAATTACATATTCCGTTATTATTATTTTATTCAAAAAATAATGCATATTTATGCAAAGATGTATATTCGTCCATTGAAAGTTTTTGTAACGTATGTAAAAAAATAATTTATTAAATTTTTAAAAACTCAATCTTTCAAAACTTTAGGCTCATATTGTATTTTTGGAAGACATTGATGCATTTTTAAATTGCTATGATCAAGCACTAATAAGATCAAATAGAAGAGGCAGTAACAGAAAGTTAATTATTTATGAAAAATATAAAAAGCATTGTACAAGTTCTACAGCTTTCAATCATAAAATATTTGAAGGTATTTTAAAAGTACTGATTTTTCATAAGTAGTTAAAATCTAAATAATAAATAATTTCACCTAAAAACAATTTTTAATCGAGATCTATGAGCGTCAGAAAATTATTGTAAATATTGCGTCTTTAAGATGACAAAGTGCCAATTCTAAATTGCGTTTCATATCTTGGCTTTGTGAGGTATTTATTGCTTGTTATTATAGTATTTCGCCTCGCGTTAATTAAAATACAAATTGCTGGATCATCAATGAAATTTTTTCAGCACCGATATTTTATTCAAAAAGCAGCTTATCTAAAAGCTTGTACTTTTCTAAAGGCAATCAACTCAATGACTCAGAATTTTCTGAGTTCACTTTGATTTATTTATATACATTTCCAACCAGCGCTGGACTTTATAGCAATTTTGTTTTTTTAAGTTGTTCCAGACATTCTGCTAATTTGTGAAGTAAATTATACATTGTATTTAAGCACGAATAAATTTGTTGGCAAAGACAACATATTGGAACCAGTTTTATTAGATATCTATCATCAAAATCAAAGTTTTTTGTACAAGAATAATTTATTTCCTGATAAAATAACCAATTTTATGGGTAAGTACTTAAGCTGATGACTTAACTTTTCATATTGAATCGAAAATTTATTTTAATAAATACTAACTACAATGTAAACTATAGTTATTACTATTTATTACACAGGTCGACCGTTTCGTGTTTCAACTTTCACATACAAACCATATACTATAGTAAACCCCGTAATCAAAGGTAAGCCTTATAAAATTGCTCGGGGTGGAAATTTTGTAGTAAATAACGCCACCAAGGGAGCCCCAGAAGATTCTTTAGCATTGCTAGACGGAACAGAAGCTCGTCCATTTCATCTGTACTGCTTGAAATACAACTGCACTGTTGAGTTGCTAGATTGTAAGATAATTTTAGTATAAGATATAATTTTTTTGGCTTGGTATTAGTTGCTGAAACGATCGTTGTTTTAAATGTTAGTTAAGTCGATTTAACTAACATCTATTATTTATATCCCTAAGTAGTACGGCTTGTCCACTCTTAACCTTTTTCTTCTTATCTTTTGGGTCAATTTTTTTTCTTATCGGAATCAAAAGATACCTACTGCTCTAAATTATAACCCTTCTATAACAATCTATTTAAATCGGTTTGGTACTAAGGTTGTTCGGAAAGTCACTTCGTTTTTTTTATCACAGAGGATTTAACTGTATATATATTTTTTGAGCCTAACATCACATTTGAGCGTATAATTATTATATGATTTGAAAGCTTATATTTTTAGGTTTGTTTGTGTAAAAAATTATAATCAATTAGACGCAGTAGTTTTTAGAGGGTGCCACTTTTAATACGGAAAAAATTGAGCAGCAATTTCGACATATTTTATACCCTTTTTCTATAGGAAAAGTGAAAATACTGTTTAAGTCAAAATGAAATTGACCGATGTGTACGGAAATGACGTACGACGGTGATAAAATTGGTTTGCTAAATTTCATTCCTGGTATTTTGATGTCCAAGATGCACCAAGTTCAAAAAGTACGGTTGAAGCTGATAAAGACGCGAGAAAGGCATTAAGTAGTTGATGAAAACCGATGAATAACAATACAGGAAATCCCACTGAGTAAAAATTTATCAAATTTAACAGTTCATGACCACTCAAAAGGTCTGGGATTTTCCTCGAAACTCAGTGTATGGTTATCATAGAAAGAAACGTGTGTCATCGCACTGGCGTCCGAAATTCGCCTCTGAAATGTCTTGAAAATTATCAGGTTTTGAAGCGATGTCACTAGGAATATCAAATAGGATGTAAAGAATACAATACACGCAATTGTTCATAAAACAAAAAAAAGAACCTGCTCAAAACAGGTGCAGAACTGAAATTTGCCAGAAAAGGGTGATGCAGTATGTTTGGTAATATTTTAAAGAAGTTGTTCATTTATCAGCTTTTCCAGGATAACATAACGGTTAATTCGGATGCCTTATGTCATCAGCTGGATAAACTAAATGATCAACAGAAAAGGTCAGAATTAACCCACCAGCAAGGTATAGTCTTGCATCAAGCCGACGAAAGACTCACATAAGTTTGGTCAATCGCCAAAAGCTTTTGAAGCTTGAATGGGACACAATTTATATTCATCATATTCTCCAGACCTGCCATCATCGGACCATTATTTGTTCCGGCCACTAAAAAAATTTTTAGGCGGTAAAACCTTTACCTCAAATCACCCTATCAAAAAGCACTTTGATCAGTTTTTTTGACAATAACGACCAAAACATTTTAGTATAGGAGCCAGCAACGTTTTCAAAACAAGCATTTTAGTCAGGCTGGTTTTTTGGTATGTGGTCCTTGGTGCTCTCTCGGTTAGGGTAAGGGCCGTCTGGCAGCTGGAAGTGGTTGCGTTAATTAGTGCGCAGCCAATTTGTACAGCGCGATTTCAAAATTTTGAAAGCATTTTAGTCAGCCCAATTTTCGTTTTTTTGACTTCGAATAGTTCACCAGACTCAAATTTTTTGTTGCCAGACATTTTGGGCGCTGCTAAATATGTGCCAGACGCCAATTTATTTATTATTTTTTTTAAAAATTCAAATCATTTTAGTCCGTCTGAAATTTTAGTATTATGTTCGTTAAGGGTCAAAACACGTAAAATTAATTTGCCAGACGTTTCTGCGGTTGTTAACCATGTCTGGCAAGCAAAAATGTCTGGCAATATGATACTAGTTTATAGCATTTTAGTCAGTCCAATTTTCATTTTTTGACTTGATATTTGATTTGATAACTTGAATAAGTTATTCAGATTCACATTTTTGTTGCCAGTCATTTTGGTCGCTGCCAAATATGTGCAAGACGCCAATTTATTCACTAATTTTTTTTTAAATTTCAAATCATTTTAGTTTGTCTGTAATTTTAATATTATGTTCATTAAGGGTCAAGAAACATAAAATTAATTTGCCAGACGTTTCTGCGGTTGTTAAGCATGTCTGGCAACGAAAAAAGTCTGGCAATATGATACTAGTAGACAGAGCGAGACAATCGCTAAATACATTGGCGCGAATGAAACAAAAAACTATTATACTCGTAAGAGCGCTATACGTTTACTAGGCAGAAAACCATAAGAAAAATCAAGTAACTACATTAGACAGATGTGTTTGTTATAAACTTCTCTGCAAAATTGTGTTTATACCATTTTTCTTTAGAATCACCGTTTCTTACAAATTGCCATCTGGAAGATTAAAAATTCATATTTCTCATAATATGCAGCCTTTATAAATACATCATCGAAGGTGAATTATGAGTGAAAAATAAAAATCCATTGATTTGTTTTGGATAGATGAGTTTAACGAGTCTTTTGATATATCACATTGTAGTATTATTGTCCCAGTGTGGGAGGTTCGCATATCTGATTGTTTTGAAGGAATTAATCGAAATAATTATGTATAAATGAATGCGAGGCGTGTTATAACATCCAAAGTGCTTAAACAGTTATCATATTAAGCCATAAGACGAATAAATCTGTATAATAGACGTTTTTATTCGTTGTTAAAAAAAACGATATTCCCAATTATAATCTTGATTTAAGAGACCTAGGTCGAATGACTATCATTATATAGTGATACATATTGATCTAAAATGAACCCATTTGAATTTTTGAATTATTAAATACACTTTGATTGAAACAGTGCTCAATTTACAGCTAAAAGCTGAAAGAAAAAAGGGCGGAGAATGTTTGCTGTACAATATATATTGTATATATTATATATATGCTAGAATTTTAAGATTCTATTCTAGGGATAGCTCGAACTGGTAAGGTAGCAAAACTAGTATTATTAGTATTAAGTATAGGTATGTGTTACAATTAGTTGCTGCTAAAGCCATGTAATATGTACATGTACCAATAGTATTACATGTATCATGTAAAATGAAGACATTCGACTCAGTTAACTTAGTGATAAAAAAAAATTGCGTCTACTAGTATCATATTGCCAGACTTTTTTCGTTGCCAGACATGCTTAACAACCGCAGAAACGTCTGGCAAATTAATTTTATGTTTCTTGACCCTTAATGAACATAATATTAAAATTACAGACAAACTAAAATGATTTGAAATTTAAAAAAAAAATAATGAATAAATTGGCGTCTTGTACATATTTGGCAGCGACCAAAATGACTGGCAACAAAAATGTGAATCTGAATAACTTATTCAAGTTATCAAATCAAATATCAAGTCAAAAAATGAAAATTGGACTGACTAAAATGCTATAAACTAGTATCATATTGCCAGACATTTTTGCTTGCCAGACATGGTTAACAACCGCAGAAACGTCTGGCAAATTAATTTTACGTGTTTTGACCCTTAACGAACATAATACTAAAATTTCAGACGGACTAAAATGATTTGAATTTTTAAAAAAAATAATAAATAAATTGGCGTCTGGCACATATTTAGCAGCGCCCAAAATGTCTGGCAACAAAAAATTTGAGTCTGGTGAACCTATTCGAAGTCAAAAAAACGAAAATTGGGCTGACTAAAATGCTTTCAAAATTTTGAAATCGCGCTGTACAAATTGGCTGCGCACTAATTAACGCAACCACTTCCAGCTGCCAGACGGCCCTTACCCTAACCGAGAGAGCACCAAGGACCACATACCAAAAAACCAGCCTGACTAAAATGCTTGCTCGAAAACGTTGCTGGCTCCCGTACTATTTATTATTACGGAATTATGCTAATACCAGAAACATGACAAAAGATGTTCGATCAAAACTGCCAATAAATATAATTTATTAAAATAGTTGTTTATTGTACGAAAATTACGCGTCAAAATGTCTATGAAAACGAAGTTATTTTCCGAACAACCCAATAGAAATATTCTTGAAATAAATAATTGATATGGCAATAACATCGCGTTTTACATATACAATTTTTTTTCAACATTAGGTTTGAAAATGTTTTATTCATTTAGACGAGTTTGAAAAGTGGGGAGACATTTGGGACGAAAAGAATGGAACAGGACTGCTTGGAGCGGTTCTCAGACGCGAAGCAGACGCCGGAGTAGCAGCGCTTTGTCTCTGGTATCATGAGTATCATTACTTAGATCTGGCTGCTCCACTTACTCGCACAGGCGTAACTTGTGTTGCTCCAAAACCAAGGTGTGCATTTATTAAAGCAAGCTATTTATGGTTATCATAAACTGTTTTAAATTTTTTATAGGCGATTATCTGCGTTCTTTATGCCAGCTCAACCATTCTCCAAAGCATTGTGGATTTGTGTTTTTATAGGATTTGTATCTTCCAGTCTGATGATCTGCGTAGCTCGGGGAAAAGATCGGCAAGATCGATTAGGACATGCTTTTATGACTGTAATGGGAATTTATCTTGCGCAAGGAGCAATGGGAAAAGTTGGAGGAGGTGCAAGGGTTGGAATCATTGCCCTTTTCCTAGTTTGCGGTTTAATACTTGGCTTAATATATGGAGCAGGTTTTAGCAGCATTATGACCGTACCCAGGTATGTAACAAGATTTTTATTATAAAGTACATGGTAGTTAATTTAATTAACTAACAAACAATTATTAACAATTATTCTGAGTTTATACTACTCTAATACTGTCTAGACTCCAGACAGTATTTGTTATTTGTGATAAAGTTTAACAGATCTTATCATAAATTTAATATTGTAAATTGTTATTAAATTTTTTGTCTGATTTACCTCTTCAGTGTAATGTGACTTATTTAAATTTGAATGACTTTGCACCACAAAGACTTTTGCTATAGGATGGGATGATGTACCTCGAATGTAATGCTGTACGCTTATATAAATTATGTTTTCTTACGTTTAGATTTGAACCGCCAATAGACTCGGTTCATGATTTACGAGTTAGCCAACTTCTTTGGGGATCGACTGGGACAGGTTTCATTTTTTCAATGCTTGGCGGACGATCGTGTTAGTATATTTCTAGTCATTGTGAAGTTTACTACAGTAATATTTACTATCATCATGTATATATACATATAATATATAATATTATATATATATATATATATATATTATTTCAGGATGATATAGTAGCACTTTTATCCACATTCCGCGTGCTAACAGAAAGAAGAGCTTCACAAAGTGTCCTTGATCGACATTATGCTTTGGTGTGGAGAGATTGCCAGCAGGTAATTGTGAAGAACATTGAAATTAAAACTTAGGTTTACAAATACTTTTGTAAGTGTACAGAGATAATTTTAATTTTAAAAATAATCAGTATTAAATGAATACTTTATTTTAGCCAATAACTCCTTCTTACATTTCTATGATGTATATAATTTTTAGTATCAAGACATTCATGTCAGTAAAGAACCAAGACGCCGATAGATCATCCAGTCTGTAGTCGAATGTTCAAAATGAACAATCATAATTAATAGTCGATGATTGTCTTTGAATTGATAACTGGTAATCACTTGCTGTTATTTCTGGTCTCAAAATTTTTTTAGGTCACTTTGCTGTTGGTGATTATCTTACGGCAAATGCAGTGCCCGGCTTGAGATTGATGCGGGATGATATTTACTGGGATCACGTTGTTGCTATGATGCCAAAAAGTAACGTTCATACGCCCAATTTAAATAAATTGACTCAAGAAATTGTACAAGCAGGATTAGTTCATGTGTGGGAAATGCAGGTGAATTTTTAAGAGTAGTTATCATAATTATGATAATAATATATTTAAATTTATTTCTTCTTTTACATGTTATTTTCACATTTAAACTACATATATTTACAGTATTAATTATATAATGTTATATAATATTACATGTTAATAAATACATATGTATATTTATTAACTTCCCGTACATTTGAAGGCCTTCTTTTATCTATGCTCTGAATATTTTGGCATACCTTAGAAAAAATGCATGTATGTGTGTGTGTGAGTGTGAGTGGGTATTGATATGTAATGAACCTTATTTTATAAAAATATAATATTATTGTAAGGGTTTCATACCCCTGGCGCATTGCAGCAGGTTGTATAACCCTGACGGGTACCGTTACTTGAACCACTATAAAACTGGTGCAATGCGTTCTTATATATATATATATATATATATATATATATATATATATATATATATATATATACTAGCAAACCCGACAAACTCCGTTTCGCCACCAGATGGTTTTGTGAGAAAGATGAAGTAACTTTTTGTTTGTTTTATGTTTGAAAAGGAAAAATTTGATTTTATTATACAACAGTAATGAATTTATTTCGATTACAAAAATGAAGTGTTTTTAGTTGAACTTCTCTAGGTAAATGAAAGTGAATCCGCAAATTATCCGTTTCATTGAAGTGCTCTTTGGTAACGTTTAATGTCATGCACCACTAATTTTCTTAGCTATAAACCTTGCGGAGCCTGAGACCTTTCCAACGAATGCAAAATTGTCCAAATCAGTTGGTGCGTTCTGGAGTTATATCGTCAGGAAGGAAAACCCGACTTATTTTTATATATATATATGTAGATAAATTATCTAGATAATCTATTTGAAACTATTTGAAATTATTTAAAACTAAATTATTGATTATTTTCATTACTCGAATTTTTAATTACGGTGTGTGAAGTTCCAGCAATTTGCGTTAAGGCACGATGCCATGCACCATTAATTTTTGCAGCTATAAACCTTGCGGAGCCCATTTCTAATGAATTCAAAATTGTTGAAATCGGTTCGTGCGTTCTGGAGTTATATCGTCAGGAAGAAAACCCGACTTATTTTTATATATATGTAGATATATAGTTACTTTGTAGTATGTTATGATAGTAGTTACTTTGAATTATGTAGATATATATATATATATATATATATATATATATATATATATATATTTTAATAATTGCAGGTATCAAATGCCCATCAAGATTTCAAAGTGCAACAAGGGATACTTCTTTCATTGCAAAGTAAAACTTCACAAGGGGAACCGGAAATATTAACTTTAGAACATTTAATTGGCGTATTTACTATATGGGGACTAGGTGTTGTAATATCTTTGATATGTTTTGTGTTTGAAATAATTCGAAGTAAGTCTAAGCTGAAGAAAATGTTTTAAACTTTAAACCTTGAATTATATTATAAAAAATATTACTGATCAAATTAATTGTGCCTGGTTGTCTAAACCAAAACCTACCACAATTTTCCTTGTAATCTGATATGGTAGTATAAATTGACTTTTAATGTGAAAATTTTCAATGTCTTTTAGCCTTATGAATACCTTAGAGATAGTAACACTAAGATCGTTTTTTTTTTTTTTAATAAAATGACTTTCATTTATGAAATCTTAATTTATTTAATACTGTGAATTATAATAACTTTAATTCAATACAGAATTTTACATGCTTAATTTTCTTATTATTAATTAATCAGTAATATTCCCTTATTAATCAGTAATATTTCTACAAATTCTCTTGTTTTCAATTCTCATAGCCCCACTATAAATGCAATGAACTGCAATGTTTGGAGTATAAGGCAGTCCTGGAAGAAGCTGAAACATTATATAAAACAATCAATAGACAATAATAACGACATTGGACAATAAAATGGAAGATAACAAGAAGTTTTTTATTCATTTACCTTTGGGGTGAGTAAAAAGTACTGTGCAACATTTTGTTTGTTAGTTACTTTTGTGAGTAATTCAAAGACTCTTCTTTCATTTATGGGATCCATTCCTTGATTAATTTCATCTACACATCGAAATGGAACGGTCGTTAATTCCTGAAGTGATAATAAATAAATGGCTGTGGCAACAGCCCGTTCTCCTCCAGATTGAGTATACCGATTTAGTTCTTGCATTACTTCGGCGCCTCGAAATCGAACCTTAATACTTACACCATATTCTTTATAGTCATCCTTGAAAAATTAATAATGATATTAGTAAAGCAGGTTTTTTTCAAGGTAAAAAGGATTTTTGTCTATAATAAGACAAATTAGCCCCTTAACTTACAATGACGAGCGTAGCCCATGTACGATAATCGGACCAAAAGCAAATATTACGCATTACGGGCATGGTCCGGTACGGTGATCTCGAATATTACATAATATTCATACGAAACTATACAACACAAAATTATTTTTATTTTTCTGATAAACTGTACGCTATGTGGAAAAAAAGACACGACCACGCGTCAACTTGCATAACAAACATTTGGCCCAACATTTTTGAATATAAATCGTAAGTTAAGGGGTTACTTATTAACTACTTATTTAAATATTTATAATTAATATAGTATAAATATTTCATTTCATAATAAATCGCAAAATACTGTTTAAAAGAAATATTTTTAACATAGAATTGCTTTAAAAGAAGTAAAATAATAATAAAAATTACCGGATCAGCAGGAGAGATCAAAGTAACATCGCCAGCACACTGCAAATGATTCATATATCTACCAAAATTAGTTCCAATTTTCTCTATCAAACTTGTAATATTTTCTTTCCACACTTTTCCCAATTCATTCGATTGTCTGATATTGTCCTGTATCAGAGCCGTATTTCTTTCTAAAGTTTCAGATGTACTTCCAATGAGTTCCCTTCTTTGATGATAGTCTTGATAATCCTTAAAATATAATTATTACTTTCACTTTATTTTCACATTTTCACATATTTAGAAGCAAGTTTTACTTACATTACCGTCTCCTACATTCAACATATCCGCACGGCTTTGTTGTTCCTCAATCATATCTTCTAAAACATCAATTTCTGTTGGCATTTTATTAAATTTATTTTTATTAGGAAAATTCTCATCATCTGGAGCTAAATTATCAGAAAAAATGAAAGTTCATTGTATTATCTTTTGCTTCGGTTTTTCTGTGTTCATAGACCTTCATTATGTTATGTAAAGTTTTCTGAAAATTATTTCAAAATATAAACAATATACATATATTCTAAATAAATACAACCTGCACATATGTATTAACAAAAATTTATAGGATTTAAATAATACCTCTGCGCTATTTAAATCATCTTTTGCTTGTAAGTAAATCGATTGCTTCATATTCATAGTTTCTTAAGTTGTCTTACTAATATGTTATCATTTGCTTGTTCATGATTTTTTTGAATCAATAAATTGATTCTTTTTTGCACATCTTTATGTAATGTTTTTATTTTTGTAAGTGTTTGTAATAAAAAATCATCCAATTCTTTCTGTTCGAACTTCATGTCAAATGTCTCTGATTGTAAGGATTTTAACTTTATTTCCTCTATTTTTATTTTATTTGATATAATATCCAAATTTTGTTTCTGTTCTTGAAGTCCTTTACGCTTTTCAGAAATTTGATCTCGTTTCACACATAATTCTTTCATAGAAGTTTCAATCATAGATATGTTGTTTCTCAAGTCATCACTAGATCTAACTAATAATTGTAATCTGAAAATAAATTTAAAAAAATTGAGCTGGATATCAGAAGGCAACTAATAATGTATAACTAAATACTAATCTTACTTCTGCTTATATTTCTGCTCTAATGTTTTATCAACATTGTGGTTTAAAAGATTTCTATTTCCTATTGGTACTGTAGTAACTGATTTTTCTCCACTGTATGATGATATTATTGTTGTATATCGAAATGTATCTAGAAAATGAACACATATACACAAGCTGCAAGCTTGATAATGATCTTAATCATAAATATATAATATATACCCGAATAATAAAACAATTGTATTGATGAAGGGACTTCATCAGCAATCTTATCAGTTTGTGCTGTGCCAATCGGTATATTATGAACTTGATATGTTTTACAAAGAAATGATAACACTGGTTCCGGTCCATCAATCAACTGCAGCATGTAGGAAAAAAATCCGTATCTCCTGCAAGTTCATTATACATGACTATTTTTAGAATCCTAACAATATTTTTTAATTATAAAGCCCTTACTTTATATTGTCAATAGATAATCTAGGAACATAAGTTTTCAAATAACCTGGAGGTGAACACACTGCCGACACTTTAAGTTTCATTTCCATTTTAACTGTTTTAACAAAAATTATTATCTATCTTCAATATTTTCACAAGTAAAGCTAATAAATCTCTTTGCTAATAGTATTTTCCAGAAATTTAGAATGCTCTGGGTTCTTCACATTTAACTGTAACACAATAATAAGCTTATAAAATGTTCTGTGAACATATTAGAAAGTATGTAAACAAAAAATTCAATATATTTCAAAACATTCCTAGCATTGTTAAGGCAATTTAAACTTGTTAAAAACTTGAAAATTATTGAAAATTTTGAAAGCAAATATTTTTTTAAAGATTTTTTTTTGCAATTTTAATGCTTTTTGAAACTCATGGTTTTTGGTAACATTTGTTTTTTTTAATTCTGAAAACAATAGAATTATTAACACCCGAAGGTTAAGTTATTGTAATCGTCCAAAAATCAAAATTGAAAGTTTACTTTCTTCACGTTTTCAAGTTTTCTGAACATTTTGGGATACCTCAGAAAAAATTGATGTGGGTGTGTGTGTATGTATGAATGTATGAATACAATTTTTTGTTCACGTTTTCGGGCGCACGGATCAACTGATTTGAATGGTTCAAAAAACATTCGATTCCTATTGATAGGGAGATGTGCTGATTTGTTTTTGGCAGAGGCAGGTCCAGCCGTTACGGAGATAGGGAGCAAAGACTGCAGAAAATACAAATCGAGTTTTTGAGAGAACAGAGTATCCAATTTGAATGAAAAGACATTCAATTTCTAATTATTGGAGAAGAGGTAATTAGTTTTGGCAAAGGTAGGTCTGGCCATTTCGAAAATACAAAGCTAAATTTGCAAAAAATTGCAGTTTTTGAGAGAACTAAGCGTCCGATTTTAATGATTTAAAGAACTTTCTGCTTGTATCAACAGAACAATTGCTTTTTAAAAAAATTGTTTCAATTTTTTTTGTATATGCACATATAGACACTTTTTTCTGAAGTATGCCAAAATGTTCAAATGTATAAAAATTTTCATTTTCGATTTTTTCGCGATTGTTGTAACTTACCCTACGGGATTTAAATAAAAAAAATTAATATATCTTGTAAAACAAAAAAAATCGTAAAACCTCAATTAATATAGGGGGATATATTTTATTCTGAAAACTTGTTCTCATTTTCTCTCAGCCACAATGTTGCCTTGTAAGCGTCTTCATTACTTTCCCTAAGCACATTTAATCTTCTTGAAGCAACATTTTCAATTTCAGCTAACTTGTTTTT